CTCAGGACTGTCTTTCTCCAGCTTGGTCGAGATTTGGGGGCATAGGGGTGTAGGAGACAAAGCTTAAGCCTTTAAGCCTCTCGAGTTTGCGGTTTAAGGGCTAGGAGGGCCTGGGTTTGAGCGTTGGGTTTGGGATTGAAACGAGTAGGGGCTCAGGGTTGAGGATGTGCAGGGTCCCGACTAGTTCCTTTTATTGTCGAGACATGAGCTTGTACTGCTGGGTTTGTTGCTGCCAATTGTTTCTCTCGCTGTGATAATGGGTCTTTCGGGGTTCGGTGGTAGAAGATAGAAGTAGTAGCAGTAGTAGTAGTAGTAGTAGTAGTAGAAGAGTAGTAGAAGGAGTAGTAGGAGGAGTAGGAGAAAGTAGGAGAAGCAAGCACCGCATCGGGAGACTGTCAAGTGTACTCAGTGTGATGTCCGTCTCGGGTTCCGCCTGAGGGGAGCCGACGCGAGTGTCCGCGCCAGGCTCGGGATTGGGCTCTGTCTCCTGGATGGGTTCGGGGCTTAGGGCTTAGCGGTTTTTAGGGGACAGGGCCACTTCGGGGTGCTTGGGACGTATGCCTTCTGGAGTCTGAAGATCGTAGAGTCGTTGAGTGTGCCTAATTTCATTCTGGATGAACAATGAATTGATTGTCGTCAGCACTTCATGCCATTAGCCGCCTTCCAGACTGCCGACAAGGGCCACGAAGGCCCCTGCAAGGTTATCGGCCCCAGTCTGCTATAGCAACAAAAGGCCGAGCGCCGGGCTTATAACACGATCCACGCAAATTCACGCAAAGATCCGAAAAAGAAAAGGCTGCTTAATCAGGTTCCTGGATCCAGATGCTAATAGGAAGCGGTCAAGGTCGTTCGAGGGTATTCAGGTATTCATTGTCATAATGTATAAAACCCTGTGCAGGACTGGAGAACATGTCTACCCGCCACAAACCCGTAGCCACGCTATCTCAAGTCCCCGAAACCGAAATCCGAAACTAAGCCCTAAACCCAAAATGCCCCCAAACCCTGAACCTCTGTACCCTGCAAGCCCTCTTTAAATATACACCCTAAGCCCGAAACACCAAGCCCTAAAACTCGAAGCCACCCCATGCCTCCGGCTTCGCGTTGTCGACGAGGAGGCCTCTCTCGAAGGCTGCGGTGACCTCGGCCGTGGCGTAGTGGTGCCTGGGACATCGTCGTATCTGCAAGGGTGGGGCTTCAGGATTTTCGGGTTTGCTTTCTTTTGCAAGGCTCTTGGTTTAGGTGCATCAGGCATTGGAGTTCTAAAGGGTCTCAGGGGCTTTGGACATTCGTTTATGGGATGATTTTTTCAAGAAGGGCATTTATGGCTTTGTATCGTATCCCGTGAGGGCATACGGATTTGGATTTGTACAGCTGTACAACGTCCCAAGTCAAGGGAGGACATAGGGTGTGCGTGCTGAAATCAGCCATGCAAGCATTTGAACTGATGAGTGCTGCTGTCAGCTCAAGCGACGCTCAGACGTACGTAACACTCCTCGTGTCGTACAGGGTCTCCGCATCTATCATGAATGAAAGACTGTGGGTGCGTGGGTGTGTGGGGCCCTCTAGCAGGATCCTCGAGATGTCGAGACCCTTCAGGTTCTGATACACCATTGTGGCCTGAAGGTTGTGGCGAAAAGCAACCGACGACTATTCTCAAATCTCCGCGACTTGAAAACCCAATATCGCGAAATGAGCCATCTCAGGAAGCCCAGTACCAGAAGTCAGTCGTGCAAGTTCCTCCTGCAAGCATCCTGTACAAGCCCCCGTTGGACGGCAACACTTGTGAAAGGTCCTTATTCACAGGGCCCTGCCATCTACCGGCGAAGGTTCCGTCCTCAAGCCCTTCAGGCAGAAATCCAAGCCCTGCTATCTGCTTGCGAGCCTCTGCCCGAAGGCCCCAAAGATACTAATTAACAGGTTATTGCTATGCACCGGATAACTTTCTACGAATAATATATTAAGACCAGCATACTAATCGTAGTCGTGCCATATCTACTCTAGAACCCCAAGACTTCCAATGAAATACTGCTTATGCCCAGGACATGAGTTCGAAAGCCCCTAAACCCGAAAAAACTCCTTCTTCCTGGGCCCAAAACCCTGATCGATCCCGAATCCCTAAACCCTGTATCCCCCTAAACCCCTAAATCCTCAAACCCAAAAACCCTTGGACCACCGTCAAAACCCGATGTCCCAGTGGCTTTCGGAGATGTCTCTTCACCAGGCCCTTCGGCTCGGCGCCCTGGTGAAAGACAAGCCAGGAAGATGGTTGCCAGCTCAGCTGGATGATGAATCCAGACACTGTGATCATATATATATATATATACATACATACATACACATATACATAGACATATACATATACATATACATATACATCTACATACACATACACATATACATATACATATACATAAACCTATACATACACATAAACATATACATAAACATAAACATAAACATACACATACATATATGTGTATATATATACATATACACATATACACATATATACATATATACATATATACATATATACATATATACATATATACATATACATATACATACACATACACATACACATACACATACATACATACATACATACATACATACATACATACATATATATATATATATGTATGTATATGTATATATGTGTGTATATATATATAGCCTAGGGCTGGTACGAAAAAAAACAGAAGCTCTGAACCCGAAGGCAGAAAGAGCTGCGACAAAGGCGGACCAGGTTCTGCCCCTGCAGCTGCCTTCGCCGCCCCTCTGTGACAACGGACAAATGAAAAAGAGTCGATAAGAAGGCAAGACGAGACCAAACAAACTAGGATGACTGAAAACCAGATAGACCTTCCACTGGAACTACTACCGCAGACTAACAAACCTAAACCGGCAACCAACACCCCGAAACGGGACATCTAGCGCCTGCATCTCCAAACCCAGCACCCCAAGTTCCAAATACTATAGTTCCACACCTGTCGTGAAACACTGCAAGATTGGACCTGTTTCGAGGAGCGGTGGTTTGTTTTACGACTACTCCGATTACCACTACGACGACCACCACCACTACTGATTACTATTACTACACCCAGCTACGATTGCTGTGTGGCCTTCTGGGGCATCTGGAAGTAAGTAGGGTTCGCGGCCAATGGAGCCGCACGAGGCAGACTGGTGCCTTGGATGGGTGACAAAAGTGGAACTCGGCTTCTGCAGCTTCTGCCTTTGGTCGGGGCTGCAGGTTTTCCGAGCATAGCTATGAGAATCTCAGTACACCTGCCAAGCACCTGAGCTGTCCGAGAACCCCACATACGATATGGCAAACCGCTAAAACTAACATGGATGTTCGGCCAAAGGCGATATACCTAACCCGATGTCGGTACTTTGTCACTGTTGCCACTGTCAAGGGCACATCACATGGGATTGGCTCAGGGGTTGGCCAGTGCTCCTCCATACTACTGAAAACTGAAAGACACAGAGCAGTATCGGGAATGATGGCAAATCTTGCAGTAAGTACTCTACCACAAATGCCGCAATGTGACATACAATCAACCAACATTCTCAGCATGTTCTTCTGCTTGCTTTGGAATAACCGGTTTCAGCTTCCGACTCAACAACAATCAATAGTTCGACTCTGGTCCGGAGTTTCCTTCTTGGCTTTGGAGATACCCCAGTAAAAGGCCGTAAGGTAGACAAATGACTAGTGCCGGCATGCCTCTATGGCACCGAAACAACGACTTTGAGAGTAGTTCAGGATCTAAGGACCCAGTGCTGCCCAGCACCCAAAGGCCCCTGAACCTGCCGCTGGCTGCCGGTCCGATCGCTAATTACAGTATCTCTCCTGACTGTCAATACTGCGTCCATCCTTCGTGTCGTTCGAGTTGCTGCCCATCAAATGCGCATCCACGCGGGCGGCGCAGTCTCGACCCTCCGGGCTTGGGCGATTTCCAAACGATCTAGACACGAAGGTCTTGCTTCCGGGCATCACTGGTATTCTCACGGAACCGCTGTCGGATGAGGAGGTGGTGATGGTGGTGATGGTGGTGGTGGCGGTGGTGGTGGCGGCTCCAATCTAGTGAAGGGCATTGCCAACCTTCGTTGTCCCGCTTTTGGATTGGAGGCACAGGGCCTCATCGTCACCTTCAGCAAACAAAATCATCCCCGTCGTCGCCATCATCAACAGCATCAGTAACGCCGTCACCCGGCCCGGGGCTTTCGGCGTTAAGTCTGCGCCACGTGGGATGTAGCTTGCTCAACCGTTGCCGTAAACCTGGTATGCCGCCTCTGGAAGAAGTACTTAGCAGTTGGAGACTATGGCCAGGGGAATCACTCTCACGATCACGGCTTGGAGATTGGGATTGGTGCACTTACCCTGGCCTCTTGCAGGGACTATGATTTCACAGGGCTCAATCTCCCTATCGCACAACTGCTAAGCTACGAAGCTCTTGCTGTCTTTATCACTAGGATTTGTAGAGTGATGTTGAAGCCAGATGCTTCTCTTGCTTGATGAAAGGCGCTCGCACAGTAGAAGTGCATAGTAGCATGAAGTAGCGGCAGCAGCAGCAGCGAGGAAGACTGCTGTAGTGGTAGTAGTATTTCATTCGGATTCAAGTTTCTCGCGGCCGCCATCTTGGGAGCTCTGCACAACCAGAACCCCGATAACTGGGATGCTCAGGATGAGCCCTACGGCATCAAGAAAACACAGTTCCTTGAGACTATGTACAATGTACTTGTTGCGAACACTGTTCGTACTGCCGTTGCTCTTGTTGCTGGCTGTATCATCATTGCCATTACATTTAATTACCGCTACTTCGGCTTCCAGATGTCATTGTTGTTCTCCGTCCTGTTGCATGTGTTCAGTTTCGGATTGTGATCGGCGTTCTTATTCAGTCATTCTGGCACTGCCGCTGCTGCTCGTCTAGGGTATGGCACACAGTTTCAAGCTCGCTGATGGTTTGAATGGATTCCTGAACTACTGCTGACGATGATCAGATGCGGACTCCAGTTGGTTCACGCAAATATGCTGCGAAATAGGGCAGAACTGTCGGTAAACACAAGGATCCAGCTCCCTTGCTGCGAAAGGGAAGCCTGGTCCAATCTGCATGCACTTTCACGATCCTGGAGCATGAATCTTCCAGGACCCAGCTGATACTCCCAGGACTATGTGGGGGTTCCACCTCTGCGATGGCGGTGACAACGAGCGAAGCTCCACGACGGCAGTCACCGCAAACGTACCTCGGCTGCACTGGCCCGAGCTTCGCCTGAACAGAACATGCAGAAGTTGTGAAGCGACCATTTGGAACTTGCATGATGCAGCCCGCCGGAATCTAGCAAGTCACGTGGCATTGCACTCAAGGTCTGCGATTGAAATCGGTTCCGGGATGCGAATGTCAAAATGCAGCTTCGGGCCTTTAGCTTTCAGCTCTCCCGCTGGCCATAGGCCCCCCACCACAAAACCCTTCCCGCTCCTCCCCATCCCCGGCAAACGAGGCATCCATCCAAACCGAACAAAAGCCATAGCTCCACAAAGGCAACGAGCTCCCGCAGCGAAGCATGCAAGAGAACCTCAGAACCCCCAAACCCCTCAACAAGCCCAAAGCTTGAAGCAACGAAATCCGAGCCCCAATACAAATACCCGAACCCCGATAAGAATCCTGACGCCCAAACCTCCGGAGCCTTGCGCCTGAAAGCCCTGCACAGAAGAAAGCAACCTCGGATCCTACAACCTAGAGCTCTAAACCCGCAACCCTTCAGCTACCCTAAACCCTAACACTTAAACTACCCTAAACCCTAAACCCTCAACCCTTCAACTACCCTAAACCATAACACTCAAACTACCCTAAACTCTAAACCTCAACCCTTCAACTACTCTAAACCATAACACTCAAACTACCCTAAACTCTAAACCCGCAACCCTTCAACTACCCTAAACCCTAACAGTGAAACTACCCTAAACCCGAAACCCTCAACCCTTCAACTAACCTAAACCCTAACACTCAAACCATCCTAAACTCTGCACCCACAACTTGGCAACCCTTCAACAACCCTAAACCCTAACACTGAAACTACCCTAAACCCGAAACCCTCAACCCTTCAACTACCCTGAACCCTAACACTCAAACTACCCTAAACCCGAAACCCTCTACCCTAAACCCGAAACCCTCAACCCTTCAACTAATCTAAACCCTAACACTCAAACCATCCTAAACTCTACACCCACAACTTGGCAACCCTTCAACAACCCTAAACCCTAACACTGAAACTACCCTAAACCCGAAACCCTCAACCCTTCAACTACCCTGAACCCTAACACTCAAACTACCCCAAACCCGAAACCCGCAACCCCTCAACTACCCTAAACCCTAACACTGAAACTACCCTAAACCCTCAACCCTCAACCCTTCAACTACGCTAAACCCTAACACATAAACTACCCTAAACCCGAAATCCTCAATCCTTCAACTACCCTAAACCCTAACACTCAAACCACCCTAAACTCTACACCCGCAACTTGGCAACCCTTCAACTACCCTAAACCCTAACACTGAAACTACCCTGAGCCCTATACCCGCAACCCTTCAACTACCCTAAACCCAAACACTGAAACTACCCTAAGCACGAAACCCTGAACCCTTCAACTTCCCTAAACCCCAACGCTCAAACTACCCTAAACGCGAAGCCCTCAACCCTTCAACTACCCTAACCCCTAACACTTAAACTCCCTAAACACGAAACCATCAACACTTCAACTACCCTAAACCCTAACACTGGTACTACCCCAAACCCTGAACCTGCAACCCTTCAACTACCCTAAACCCTAACACTGACACTACCCTAAACCCTAAACCCGCAACCCTTCAGCTACCCTAACCCCTAACACTTAAACTACCCTAAACTCGAAACCCGTAACCCTTCAGCTACCGTAAACCCTAACACTCAAACTACCCCAAACCCTTAACCCGTAACCCTTCGACTACCCTAAACCCTAACACGCAAACTACCCTAAACACGAAACCCTCAACCCTTCAACTACCCCAAACCCTAACAGCCCTAACACTCAAACTACCCTAAACACGGAGCCCTCAACCCTTCAACTACCCTAAACCCGAACACTTAAACTATCCTAAACACGAAACCATCATCAACCCTTCAACTACCCTAAACCCCAACACTGAAACTACCCTAAACCCTAAACCCGAAACCCTCAACCCTTCAAGTACCCTGAAGCCTAACACTCAAACTACCCTAAACCCGAAACCCTTCAACTACCCTAAACCCTAACACTGAAACTACCCTAAACCCGAAACCCTCAACCCTTCGACTAGCCTAAACCCGAACACTTAAACTACCCTAAACACGAACCCCTCAACCCTTCAACTACCCTAAACCCTAACACTGAAACTACCCTAAGCCCTAAACCCGCAACCCTTCAACTACCCTAAGCTCTAACACTTGAACTACCCTAAACCCGAAACCCTCAGCCCTCCAGCTACCCTAAACCCTATTACTTAAACTACCCTAAACCTGAAAACCTCAACCCTTCAGCTACACTAAACCCTACGGCTTAAACTATCCTAAACCCGAAACCCTCAATCCTTCAACTACCCTAAACCCTAACACATAAACTACCCTAAACCCTAGCAGTTACACTACCCTAAACCCTAAAACCTCAACGCTTAAACCTTCAACTACCCTAAACTCTTAAACCACCCTGAACCCTACACTCCACACCCAAACCCTCTGCAAAAGCTCTGCCCAGCTGCAGGTTGCTCCAGGGGGAGTCCTCGGCCTGGTATTCGCCATACTGGGCCTCTCACGAGCGAAGACTTTATAGGGCTTTAGCCTGCAAGGATTTGGCAAGTTTGGGGGGCGTTCACGCTTCAGGAATCCGAGGGGCATGCTGCTTTCTGGGGCTTTTACATGGCCTTAAAAAGGCTCCATGGGTTTTGATTTTCCTTGCAATCGGAGTTGTCCTTGGACAATAGCGGTTTAGGTTTCGGAACCTTGTCTACGTTTGTGCTTTCGAGTTTAAGGGGCGTAGGAACTGGGGGACACGGGCTTCGTGCTTGAGGCTGCTTCTCAAGCCTGGAAAGGGATTTATAAGGGACCGGGCCTACGGTTTTCTGTCGGGGAAACAAAAAGATCCAAAACCCTGAAAGAAACCGAAAACGAAGCCAACGATCCAGAACTGTGGATCAGGGCAAAAGGTCGGGCCTCAGTGAAAGCAACATGTCGGAGATCATCTAGGGTCTAGGGTTAGGGGGCAAGACTTCCTATTTCGCAAAGCCTGCCTCAAGTTCCACCACACCCCCGAAACAAACATAGTCTTGCAATGCAAAAACTCTAAAGCCTATGCTGCTACGTTGGACACCCCAAAAGCCTCAAGCATCACAAACCCTGTACTACAACATACTACGAAACCTGCAACCCAAAGCGCACCAATCCTAGAAACATGCTAAAGCCTGTAAGCCCAAAGCCCAGAATGCCTTGAAGTTCGAGTGAGAATCACGGGAGAGCCTGGACAGAAGAAGCAGCCAACAGCAAAACAAGTCAGCGTTTAACACTCAGGTAGTTGTAGGGTGCCTCATGAATCAAAGCTGACTGCATGGTGTTGTCATCACAACAACAACTGCAGGGCTGCCCATATGAGTACCAACACGGACACGGATGTAAATCCCACTACTGGGAACCTGGAATCTTCACTTCGGTGTGAAAAGCCCCGTCTGGCGCCCCGAAACTGCTAAAACAACTTCTTGGCCGTCCGAAGAGAGAAGGGAGCTAATGATTGTACTAGTATAGTCGGATAGTAAAATGCAGGCAATATATACTATACGACTTCCCGCCTCGAGTGTTGAAGCTCGGAAAAGATGCTCGATTCAGAGATTCCGGCTAGATGGGCTAGGGCTGAGCTGCGTGACTCCTTCAGCTAAAGAGCTATGGGTCGGGCAGAACACTACTCCAGCACAGCTGTACCGGCTCTACCCCATGCACGTAGCCTGCATGGGATGTTTTCTATCGCACGGTCAATCGATGGCTGGACAAACTGCTCTTCGCAGCGTCAGCTGAGCAATCGAAGCCCAGAGGAGATAACATGTACAGTCCAGCAGTTTCCAGGGGACAGAGACCTCTGATTTGGTCCGAAACCATCCCAAACCTTTTGTAGTTCTGCCAGAAGAAGCACTTCTCCAGAGACAACTGTCACGTGTTTCACTGCTAGAGCGGCGCCCTGCTAGAGCGGTGCCGACATCTGCAGATCGCAAGCTCCTCACGTGAACATGGGGATGTCTCGAAATTCGGGCTTTAGGTTCTCATTGCTTGGGTCTTGAGGGCTTACGCTTGAGATTGGCCTAAGACACCCCTTACACAACTCTTCCGGGTCCACCCTAAACCCTAAGTCCCACCCGGAGGAAATTATTCCCGTCACATGCTTCACTGATTCGAGCAAGTCTCATCATAAGCCTACCATCCCAAAGTCGGCGTTGCTGCCAATCCGATGCCGCTGGCGGAGGCTCTGCGGGGTAGCAAAGGCCCCAGGCGTCAGCGAACCTTTTGTAGAGATGAGGATGTAGGGTTCGTTGGGTGCAAGTAGAGCTTATGAGGTGTTGAAGTGTTGGTTGGCGGCTTTTCTGGTTTATGGGACTTCGCGTTGCAAGGGTTTCGGGCGTGTCCAGGGCTGACATTCTAGTGTTTGGTCGAAAGGATTTGCGGTTGTCGGGGTTTCTATGTAGGACGTACGAGACCTGGGGTTTAGCTCGGGACCTTTGCGGAAAAAAGACGAAACTCCTGGAGATACGAAAAACAGAAGCTGCAACGGAGTTACATGGTGAGAGGTGTTTCGAAGTTGCTAGGTATATGTGAAGCCGTGCACGGGTGCCTGCGCGAAGGCCGCGCGATGCTTCGGCATCTCCAAAGGCATTGTCCTGGTTGAATTCGGCAGCGATCACTGCCAAAGGCGACGGCATCATACCTGCACTTCGAGTCTCGAGAGCATGCAGTTAAGCTTGAAGTGCCCCGAGTCCCGAAACCGTCCAACTCTGCATCCGAGCCAAGTTGGCACCGGCCCGGCGCTTCTAAGAAACTCACATTGCTCATTACTCCTATAAAGCCTATCCCAGTTTAAGGTTCACTCGAGTCTTGGAATCCGAAAGCCAGGATTGCAAGGCTTCGGGCTTCAGGCAGAATCCCCAGATGTTTTTGGCTTCTGTAGCACGCAGGCCAAGACATTTGGAACACATGGCTGGGGATTTCTTGTTTTCATAGTTGGCAACCCTACGAAATCTGGACAGTATGCACTATTGAAGTCGCTTTCTTGAGTGCATCTGTCCCGTTATCCCCTTGGGCTCCAGCCTTCATCCAAGTCCAGTGCCAGCTCTCGCATGGAGTGGGCCACGGGGATCGGCGAGGGAATGCCCTTCAGCTCCTTCCACAGCCGATCGGGATGTTACTGGGGCCTTCAGAGGTTTTGAGGGTCTTTGTTTATGAAGACTGATCCAGAAGTGAGCCAGTATCAACATGTCCTAAGCCCGAACCATAATCCCAGGTCTTTGCCGCCATCATGGTGATGATCCTCAAGATGATGCTGGAAGCGACACTGCTTTCGATGTGATAATGACGAGAAATAGGTCGAGGAGGCGGACGAGACTTGTGACGATGACCTCGGCGCTGATCGGTAGAACACGATGGTGAACAAGTGGTGCAAGATTCGACAGTGCCGGTGATATGCGCGTCGATGTGACAGTGATGACGTTGATGATGGTGATGATTTAAAGTTGACGATGGTGACAAAGACGATGGTTGTGATGATGATGATGATGATGATGATAATGATGATGAGGCTGGCGATTGTCACGGTGATGTTGTTGTTGCTGCTGATGATGATGCTGACAGCGGCGATAATAGGGACAGGAGGGAAAATTGTAATGATTGCGGTCAGGTTCGTGAGCATGCTGTTCAAGATGGCAGCGCTGAGGAGAGAAGAAGATTCACGATGGTGTTAGTGTTGGCGATGGTAACTGACATCAGAAGAACTATGGCCGAAGTCGTTGCAACACTGAGCAAAGGTCTCCTAAGTGTGCGGAAGTAGTGCACTTCCTGAACCGATTTGTGAGTCCTCTTGCTGCGCGGCTTTGACTTGCTGCACAGCGTTGCCGTAAGCATAGACGAAGACACCTAGCTCTGATGCCCTCCCTGAAGAAACAGAACGCATCCCACAACGACATGAAATTATCTAGATGAGGAGCGGGTTTGCGTAGACATAACTACTATATCTATATATATATATATATATATATATATATACATATATATATATTATATGCTTGCATCATTAAAGAAGCAGCCCACCTGGAAATGCGTACGTTCGAAGGTTGGCCCTGTTGCGACTTTATTTAACCGCAAACGGAGCCCCAAACCCTAAACTTTAAGTGCTGCCTCAATTCAGGCGTTGATTGGCCAAAGGCTCTGGAGTGTTCCGGGTCGTAATTAGAGCATAGCATGCAACCGGGACTTTGGGTTCCGGATGAAACGTGTGCATTAGAGTCCAAGACTTTAAACCTCTGCCAGATCCGCCATGGTGCCAACAGTCATGAACACGAAGCCGACCACCTGCAGTCGGTGAGCAGCATGGGGGATTCATACGAGGAAGCAAGACTTGTGGTTTATGCGTTTATAAGGGCTTCTAGCATGAAAGATTTCGTTGTAGAGGCCCTCGGAAATCAAATGGCCTGCAAAACATTCAAAACCACAAACATTCCCAAGTGCCAAACGCCGAACGCCCTCAATTGGCTCGAAACCCTGAACCCTGCATTCTATAGACTATACTGTTTCTTAGGGATGATAATAACCAAAAATTAAAATGTATTTCTAAGTACCCCTAAGTAGAGCCTCAATATCATTGAACACCGTGCCTGGATCCAGGAAGCCGTTCCATTCCAGGGCTCTCCCACGGGGCCGTAGCCGAATCCTTTGCTTCCTCGGCTCCAGGCTTAAGGCGTACACAGTATTTCGAGCTTTTAGGGTTTAGGGTCCACGGCTCCTAAACCCAAAAACCCTAAAAGTTTAAGCGTGTCGGGTGCCAGAGCGACAGATATGCCCCGTCAGGCAGCATCTCTCACAATCCGGTGCTACGCATGCTGAATTAGGAAGAAGCGAGGCTCAATCTGGATATACCTGAACAAGACTAACCTTCCTGAAACCTGTTTTCCTGAGCCAGGAAACTCGAGATGCAGGAAACACGCACACACACACACACACGGCAAAACCACCTCTGGTAGTGATTTGGTAGTGAACCCGCTGGGAGGGTGCTGGGCTGTGAAGCTTTGGGAGTCTTCTTCGGGCTGGCCTTAGGTACGCATCCGAATCGGTTTCAGGTTTCAGGCTGCTGAAGTTTAGGGCTTTTTAGCTTCAAAGGCCTGGGACTTTTGGCACCCAGGGTCTTGGAGAGGTTTCGGGTCTTAGGACGTGTCTAAGGTCCAGCAGGCTAAGGGTCTTCGGGCTTTAGGGTGTAAGGATGAGCAGGTTCCTGATCAGGAGGTTTAGGATGCTTGCAGGAGGGAGGTTTATGGATATTTAGGGTTCCCCGGTTCTCACTTGCAAGATACGAAGATTTCTCACAATCGGAAATGCGCACAGCTGAACTCCAAGGGCACCCCAACCCGCAAACCCTTAAATCCTAGTAGTGTACTCCCTAAACCCCTCAACCATAAAAATCCGAAGCCCCAGTGGCCCAGGCCGTAGAAGAGAGCCATGTCGATAAGCCACACGAAGAGCGCCTGCATGTTTCGCGACACAGCTCGGAAGACAGATCCCAAGTGCTTCATCACCATCATGCCCAGGGCGTTGAGGCCCCAAAGGCCCAGAAGATAGAAGATGAGCACCAGGTCTAAAGTACCATTGCGCTGGATCATCAGTAAAGAGTCCTCGGTATTTTCGTAGACTCCTCCCACGTCGCTGCCAGGAATTCGCGCCAAAATGGGCATAATCACGCAGGCCGTCATCAACAGGCCGTACACACCCTCGGTCCCTGTCACTTCGAAGGGGTGGAGCCCCGATTCACCCATGACTTTCTCCTCCAGCACAAACCTGACTTCTTGTGAAACTGCGTCGAACATACCATACTAAGAAAACGACGTGTTTTGCTCTACATCCCTCCAACAGTGGTGCTGTAACTTGAATGCGTGTTCCTACCTAAACTCTGAGAACCCTAATGACCCCAAACACACAAAAGCCTAAACCCCCTAAAACCGAAACAACCCTAGAGACTAATAATCCTAAACCCTAAAAATTTTGGAGCTTGATAAACCTGAAAGTTTTGGAGCTTGATAACCCTGAGAACACAAAAGCCTAAACAACCTAAACCCTAAATACACAAAAGCCTGAACACCCTAAATCCAAAAACGCCTGGAGCCTAATAAGCCTGAGCCCTATGTAAAAAGCCCTGAAGCCTCATAACCCGCCACCCTTAACCTCAGAGCCTGACACGCCTAAAACCTATGCAAACAGCCATACGGTCCGAGAGCCTAATACCCCCTAGACCTTGAAAAGCCCTCGAGCCTAACAACCCTAAACCCTAGAAACCCTTTAGAGCATAACATAACAGCCCTAAACTTCAACGAGAGCCCGGAAACTGGATGCTGTTCACCACGCGCGCGAGGACGCAGAGGAACATGCCGAAAGCCTGCTCTGATGCCGAGGCTCCCTGCTGTCCTTCTTCGGGTTTCACAGGGCCTTTGGGGCTATACAGGGCTTTTGGCTTCCAGGGTGCAGGGTTGTGGGTCTAGGTTAAATAGGGCTCAGAGCCCAGAGTTTATGGGGCTTTAAGGGGGTCATAGAGTTTAGGACTTACAGGGCTGAGGGTGTAGTGTCTCGGGCTTTAGGATTTTGGGCCGGCTCCCAGCTGTCCTTGGGGGTTCTTGTCCCGTGCAGCCATGTCTGCAGCATAGCCCACAATAAGCAAAGAGGACAAGACGATAAACATGCCGGCATACTGGATGCTGTTGTACCGCCGGCCAAGGAAGATGTAGCTGTTCACAGCTACCATAATAATGATTGAGGATCCCAGCATCTGAGCTGTACTGTTGCTGATGTAGACCAGTCCTGTGAAACTCAGGATGCTGCCGACTAGATCGCCCATCGCCGGCAGGAAAATCAGTGCCCGAATCTTCCATCCTCGATCTTTCACCTGTCCCAAGTCCATCCAGGAAAGGCTGGCAATGTTTCGGGCTTTGGGGGCTGTTCTGATTACATCTGAATCTGAATTCGGCCAGTTTGGATGGGTTCCCGTGCCAGTCCCCGCCTCCTCTGGCAGCAGTGGCTCACTCTGAGAGCCATCAGCCACCTTGGGCTTGGAGCAGGCTTGAATCGCCCAGTGGAGTGGGAAGGACATAACCATTCCGATGAACATGAGCAACTCCAGGAACCATGGCTTCTTGAAGTAGTGTGCCGGATATGCTGGATCTCCGACATCCTCAGCTGTCCGATGCAACCCACGTTGAATGCCTCTGCGCATGAACCCTCATGGGATGTTTGCGGATAGGCTGTTTTGCCAGGGAGTTTAGGTTCGTCGGGTTTCGGCACATGGAGGAAAAGCAAAAACACTGTGACGAAATGCAGCTCTGAATCCTTGATCTGGTATGCGAACTTATTCGTGACGCCTCTTCAAGGCAGACAGAAATCCACAGTCTACAAGAGTCCTATCAATCGCCAGGCCCTTTATGTTGCGGTATTGCAGAAGTGCGAAGACATGAGAACATGATAAAAGGGAGCCAACCTCAGCAGGTCCAGGAAATCAAATAGACAGCTCTACCCTTCAGCCATTATTAGGGTCTAGGGATTGGGGTTTAGGATGTAGGTTTCAGCTACTGGTCTCTCTGCCTGAGTGGTTGGCATCTGGAACCGTGCTATGTGGGCTCTTCTACCCTCGTGTGTGACCCAAAGCCTTTAAAGCCAAAATCCTAAAACTAAACCCTAACCCCTAAACCCTGAACCCTTTAGACCCTAAACCCTAAAATCTAAACCTTAAACTAAACCCTAAACCCTAACCTTAAGCCCTACATAACCACCCCCTTACCTCACCGAGGCCGGGCTTCGATCCCCTCTCATACTGAGTAACAAGAAGTGTCAGTCAAAGATGGTACTAACAAACGTATAGCGATCATAACACTAACGTTAGCCAGCGTAATTACAATGGTGACAAGCAATTATGAAGATACCAATAAACCTGGCAATAATACATACAATTCTAATCATATAGCGAGGGCAGATGCTAGCTGAAGAGTTTCACGACTCCCCAGCCCAATCCCTCAAATCTCAGGGAAGCTGTTGAAAGGATCACTTCCAACATCTTCGAGGCTTAGGGATCGGCTTCGGGGGTCGGACTGCTTTGGCTTTTAGGAGAAAAACTTGCGGGTAATGCAAAAGGTTTGGGGGGTATAACATACTGTACTTACCAAAGAAAGGAACCCTAAGGAATTTCTGGCAGCAGGTGTCGCGGCTGGTGCTTCTGGTCTTGCATGCTGAAAGCTTGCACAGATTCATGCCGTGAATCACTGGATCTGTACACTGATCAGTGACGAACCAACGCAACACATAAAACTTTGGACCCGCGGCTCTACGTAACTAAGTCTTAATCAATCCCACCCACCTCCCAGGGTGATAACTCCCAGGAAGGACACGATCAGGGCGGTTTTGTTCACCATGGGCCCCAAATTGGGGACGTGGGGCACAGGAGAGAACGTATCCTGAGCCCCCTGCGGAGGAAAGCATTTCAGGGCTCAGGATCTGCGAGGCCTGGGGGTCTAGAGGCCTAGGGTTCGATGCCTACGACGCATGATCACAGGACCTACTCTTGAAAGCGGCACTCGTCCGATGTCAACGGAAAGGCTTCCGATGCAAGCGACAATAGACAAGCAAAGCTCAAGGCAAAGGACGGGTGGTGGCAACGGGTGCCCAGCCCCCAGGTGGTGCAAGCTGTCCTTCTTGGAAGCATAGGTTTGAGGCCTTTTCATGCCTTTGAGGTTCATTCAATCAACTCGCAAGTCTTTCCTGGAACAGGGTTTGTTGCATTATGTCGACTGGGGAACCTTAGTCCCCTCGCCTCATGAACCCTGGTGTATGGGTGACTCAAGCTAGGAACGAGGACCCTAAAGCCGTACCCTCACCCCTGTATGCAAGACCCTGACCACACCCCAAACCCAGAAGCTCAAAGCCTGCAGACCCTATGCGAGCGCAGGAGAACTGCAAACTAATGTATCCTAAATCCCAGACCGTGCCAAAAAAATGGGCTTCCTTCCGGCCTTCAAGTTTGGAATCTAGTCTGGAGTCGTAAGCTTTCTCCTTCTTGCTTTCTAGGCTCCCGGAGCCTTCAAGCGACTTACAAACCACAAGACCCCGAACTCGCCCTACCGGCCGAGGTGTGTGTCCGAGATCGCGGCTGGTTCTGAGGATCGATGGCATTGTCCGGTCCGGTAAAGCCCATGGCCTTGCAGGACTCAAGATGTCGTCGACTCTTTGGCGGTTTAAGACTTTAAGAAACCAACATGGATCTCTTGCCGCAAAACCTTCATGCAGAAAGTCTATAAGATTACGCGGCGCTTTGTGCTCAGGACCAGGAACAGCTTGGTACTTAGACCAGGAACAGCTTGGTACTTAATACGTGCACAATTTCACAATGATGGTTAGCAACGTCGGACGAGGCAAGGATTCGCCCCAGTCAGTCCCAAAAAGACCCTAAACCCTACGCTCCCCGCCAGGACGACGAGCTCAGCCGGGTAATCCACGGTGCCCGTCTCCTTCAAGATCAAGGGGTTTAGGTTTTCCTTGTGTATATTTTATGAGGTTTAGGGTTTAGGGGCTTGCAAAGTTTACTGTAAGGTTCAGGGAGTGGGCGTTTGAGCCTAAGGCTTGGTATTTCATGGTTGGGATTCGGGGGCTTCGAGATTAAGGTGTTGGCCGGGTGTTGGCGTTTGGGGGTTCGGGGCTAGAGGCTGGGGTTTGAGGTTCTTGCCGACAGGGCTGACATTCATCTCTGCGTCTTTCCTTCATGAAGCACAGCCTGAAACGAGAACCCTAAACCCAAGAATCACAAAAACAAAGCTGGAACCCAGGATGCGATTCAGCCATCGACTCGTCTCGTTCCGACATCTGATAGCTGAGGACGCCGTCTACTTGGCCATTCGTGCCCCGTTGCTGGATCCCAAGTATTGCGCTACGACTGTTGACTGCCGTCATTGAAACTGTCCTATTATTGCCTAGATGTCATTGCCGTTGCTGTTGCGTTGTCTTCCTGTTTGCCTAGTCGCGTTACTTTGGCCACATGCTGCCATCATTACCCTGAGCAGCCCATCAAATCTCGATGCACTGCTGATGTTGTAATGAAGATGGTCTTCTTGGTTCTTGTCCAGCCTTTGCTTTGTAAGCTCCTGGCATGCGGGACTCTTCCACATGCCATGGTCTGTGCATTTTGTATTTTCTAATAGCTGCCTATATGGTCGAAACGTCAGAAGATTCCGTTGCTACGTCTTGCCACTCAACCACCGCTTAGCCTTCAGTTTGAGACCGTTACCCTTACTCAGGCAATCTCATCTTATTGAGCAAATGTTCGCAACACCAAACCATAAGACGTGAACCTTAAACCCTAAACTTACATACCTTCATGTACGGAATTCTTCCGACCCCTGTACTAAGCTTAAGCTCGTCTCCTTGCCCGACGGGTTGAGCTTGGCAGCAATCACGCCGCCCACGGCACTGGGATCCTGCTCGTTTCGATTTTCTTAGGGCCCGGAAACCTAAAAATATAGATACACACACACACGGCCATGAACCACAAACGCAAACTTCGACCTCTCAGCCCTGGCCATACAGTCTAGGCCTAAACTTTGAACGCGTGCAGTTGTGCGTCTTGAGAAACATCCGCAAGGCCGCCCCAAAACCCTGAACACCGTTCTCGGCCACATTCGCATCAGCAGCTTCATAACTGCTGAGTTTTGCGGGAGTGCACCCCTTGTCGCAAGGGTTCGGAATCAGGCTCCCGTGAGTGTTCTCCATTCTCCGGGCGCCGCTCCGTAGGCTTGCCTTGGCCTTACCTTTGGTTAGGGAATGGCGGAATGATGCGGAATGGGGCACAATTATAACTACTATGGCTACCATTCTTCCATTCCCTACTAACCAAAGGTAAGTGGGTATGCCCCACCGCCCCCAGGCAAAACAGAAGGGGGCGAGCCGGCGCTCTGATGAGCTTCGAGACCTAAGAATGGAAGGCGTAGCTCTTTGCAGGCAGTGAACTTGGGATGCGGTTTCTATCTACATGAAGTGGAAACGTGGGTTCGAATACTTATCGATAAGGAAGCCCAGCGCCAATGCGCTACTAATCCTGAAGCCTTCAGGCTCTAACTCTCATGCGAAGAAAAAAAGTAACCGGCCAAGCTTGACTCCCTTTGCTACCATCTAGAGGCTACTTAAAATGCAAACAGTCGACGGTTTCCGACACCGGGCTTCTTTGCGGCTTAGGAAGGGGAGGATCCTGCTGCTGAGGATTTCCAATGGAAATCTCTCTCCTTCGTCTCCTTCTATTCAACAAACTTGCTGCTGGACGGCTTCAGTTCGGGTTGGGCCTGGGGTTTGAGCATGAAAGCTGCCGTTTCAGCTGATGTGAGCGTCCTGGGATGAGGGGCGCAAGCTCTTCGTCTGCACCATGTACCTTGGGGCATGGAGTCCGGAAAGGAGTGGTCTTCTTCTTACCATTGGTTAGTAGGGAATGGAGGAATGGGGTACAATTATAACTACTACTATTACTACCATTCTTCCATTCCCTACTAACCAAAGGTAAGTCTTCAAAGCTTGGGGTTGGCTTGTGGAAGCTGTGCGGTTGGGGGTAGGGATTCTTGCCTGTGGAGTTTGGAATGCTGAGGCTTCGAGGCTTACTAACTCCATGAACCCTATAAGACCTTCCTGTGAGGGATCCCTGATATGATGTCCTTATGCAGTGCCTAAAAAATGTAGGTTATTTGGGATCCAGGTCAGCTTTACGGACTTTTGGTTCTACTTGGGTTTGGACTATGAGAAGACTAATTACAGCTTGGTGGCCTTAAGCCCAAAACCAGTCTTACATCCCGAATCCTAGGCCCCGAACCCCGGTCGCCCTAAACCAACCCCGGAAAAGAACGGACATCCGGGCACTCGCGGGGATCGCGTCCCAACGTGGACTCGCCCTCGGAATGGGCGTAGTCCACTCCTCGGGAGGCATGGAGACTGATAGGCGCAGGAAGGGCGACTGCGCAGTCGAACGGCCAAAGTTCTGATGAGTCGGGAACAATAGACTATAGTCGAATAGTGACAAACCCAAAGCATAAACAACCCAGCTGAGGTAGAGATTGGCTTATCGCTTGGGGATCGGGGTTATGACCACAACATATAATGGGCCATATGTGGCCACATGGGGGCACATGTAGAAAGATCTTCTGGTGCCACATGCTGAGACTCCTAGCATCATTAGCATGATCACCGTCATCCTCACGCTGCTACAACAACAACTACTACTCCTGCTGCTGCTACTACTGCTACTAATACTTCTTCCACTTCTACCGTTCCAAGCATCAGCACCAGAGCAGCTATCACCGTTTAGAGCCATGTCTACCAGCATCAGAATCCAGCAATGATGCAGGCGAGGGCTGATCAAACCAACACAAGAAAACGACTTCTGATGCTACAGGTGCCGAAATTGCACTTTCAGGATCGCGGCCATAACTGTTCGGGCGCGTCGGGGTAGAAGGCTGGGAACCGGGTTTGGGGATGCCCCTTTCGCACGAAGTAACTAGCAAGCCCAGTGCGCAAATGCGCGACTCCCTTGTTGAATTGCAGCGGAAGCTCTGTATGTGTCCGCCCAGCAAGGCCAGGGGGTGTGCTTTGGCCGATCCTTGCAGAATCACAACATGACTTGTACTTTAGGTTCTGGGTTTCGAGGTTCGTCTAGGTCTAGCAGCGGAATGCAAAGGTTTCTGGGCTTTCGGGCTTAAACTCGTGCAGTTCGAAACCGAGCAAAGCTCCCCAAGAACAGAAGTAGTCACCATAATTGTAGGAAGAGTCGAAAGAGTGAGGGAATGACGAGGCAATACGGACGCGCCTCTGACTCAGAGGCGTAACATGGACTACGGGATTGTCGAGTGAGCAACTGGATGAGCACCAACATTCTGAAAATCAGAGAATAGCAGCAACACGGGGAACAAAAACAAACAGCTACAGTTATGGTACGCAGGACAGCCGTGACCTAGACAGCTGCATATCCTAGTAAAAGGACTCGGGCCCGACACTGAAACTAGCGGTGCCAGCTTAAGTTGTGGTCAAGGGCGCCGTACTAACAGCAGCAACGATAGTGATGATCACACGAGGTCAGGGCAGGAATCGTTGTTGTAGAGACAAGCTTTACGTTCAGGCCGCCAGCACTCTCAATCGGCAAACAAACGCCAACACAGCAGGAGCAGCGGCGAAAGTGACAGACACGTGATGCAGACATGATTATGACCAGCGCTTTGGCAGGAACAAAACCGTCATAGTTCCCTGGGCTCCAAAGCTCTCTGAGAAAACACTACGTACCCCAGTCATAAACATTAACTGCGGGGCAAAACTCGTTGGATGAATGTGAGGATCTTCCGTGGTAAGGTTTCGGGCAAGTCGGAACCTTGTAGCGTATTCATGGAGGGGG